GTCGGCGACTACGGACTCAGTTGTCGTCAGAGTCGGACAACGAGACTCTTCTGTCCCTTCTTCAATGACGTCACTCGGCGGAGCTGTTTCGACGACTTGTTGGTTCTGCGTGACTGCCTCAGGTAAGGTTGAGATTGACAATGAACTTGGGGTCAGGACCTGAACCTGCTCCTGGTAGTGTAGCCGAGCATCCCTAGTGTCGAGATAAGCATCCAGACGGGCAATACGTGTGATTTCATCGGTCGTAAGGCCGAAGAGAGAAACCGCCGAAAATACTTCAAAGTGATATCGTAAATACTGAAGGTCCTCCAGCGAGAAAGGAAGGTCAGCTGCATTGATATCGGTGTACGGGTCGATTTCAAATCCAAAGACACGAGCTTCTCGTATGTGCTGGAACCTTGCTTTCAATCCTGGATCTGAGGTCTTCTGGATGATCCGCTCGGCATCCGGACAAGTCAGGATCAGATCAATGGTGTCCTGGCATGCCTTCGGCAAACCATACAGATCGTTGGCCGAATGATTCTTATGAAATTCTCGCATATACTCCAAGGACTCCCCAAGGAACGGGGGATGCAAATTCCGTCGAATTTTGACCAAAGGCTCTTGTATAACTGGCGAGGATAATTTGCTTTCGGCCACTTGCCTGAAATGTCCAAGGCGTGCCTTCATTTCCCCTGGTCGAATGAGAAGTTTGATCCGTTTATCAGCTTCTTCAAACATGGTCTCGACATCTTGATCGACCATCCGTTTCCCCTGAGCCAACTCTGTCATAATTGCTGGAGGTGGTCGCTCCTCATCAGTGGCAACTGTATCCTTCGGCCGCCACTTAGGGGCCGAAGTTTCTTGGGCTGCTCGTCGGCGAGCCATGCAATCTATCCGTTGATGCCGGCGTTTCTGAGATTTGGACAACGCGGTGTAGACGCCCTTCGAAGAATGGTATGTATACCAATGTTGATCTCTAGGCTCGGGAGGCTTGAAGGTCTTTTGGCTCCGCGATGATCCTGAACTGCTAGAATTACGCTTATAGTAATCATCGTCATAAAATGAAGCATCAAAATCGAGGCGCCGCCTGACCGGGGGTGTCTCTTCCATCCGTACTTTAGGACCGAGCCTCCCAAAAACCCCATGATGTTGGCCTTCATTGGCTATCTTTTGCCGAGTTACGGCCACGGGTTGCGAAGAAGGCTTCTCTTCTGGTTCACTGTCGACCTTCGCTCTACATTTCCTGCACAAAATCGCCGTCCCATTATCTTCATCGGTGCTATAATCCATCATAGGTTTGACAATAGCGGGCCCCGTTAAAGCCGTAGGTGGTTTGTTTGAACGAAAATCGGCCATGAACCGTGGCCGAACATTCTGATTCCGCAGGCGTTGTGTCTCAACCACTTCAGCCTTGCCTTTCCCTTTGTCCTTGGGTAGGTACGCGTCGACCATGTTTACTGTTGCCGTGGGGAACGGATCAGTATCAACACTCATCCTCTTCTCGGGAAACTTCAGTTTACCATTATCAATCCAGCTTTGGACGTTATCGCGAAATACGACGCAATTGTTTGTCGTGTGTTTGCTCGAATTGTGGTATTTGCAATACACCTTTCCTTTAAGCTCTTCGGCCTTAGGAATGTTATGACCAGGCCAAAGCTTAATGATTTTTGCTGATAACAGTTGGTCAAAAATTGCGTCAGCCTTGGTAATATCAAAGTATAAACCTTTGACGGTTTCGATGTTCCTTCAGTGGCCGAGCGACTTTTGGCTTCTCTAGAATCAACCTGAGTCAATGCCTTGCAAATGTATGGCTTATCTATTACTATCTCAGCCGCATCCACACTAACACATTCATCTTCGGTCGATGCATAATTGACAGTAGGGTTCTTGTAAATCGTTCCCCGAGTTGGAGTCTTCGAAGTCTTTTCCTCGCGGAGCAAATAATCATACTGCTCGACATGTTGGGCTAATTCGTACATATCCCGAAAATTTGCCCCCAAGAATTTCTTTTTGTATTCAACATCAAGGCCGTTCAAAGCATGCCTGACAAATTCGACTTCGGGTAAAGGCACTCGGCACCAATTCCTAGCTGATTTGAACCTGGTAAGATAATCCATTGGTGACTCATCAGATGCTTGAGCCATCCGTGCTAATGAAAAGACTGACATCTCCATCCCCGGCCGATAAAACAGCTCATGGAACTTATCGACCAACTCCTCCCAGTTTTGGACGGAATTAGGAGGGAGATTGATGTACCAGGCAAATGCCGAGCCGGTCAACGAAAAATTGAACAACCGTAACTTGTGGAAATCACTATTAACATCTCTGCATTGCGCGGTGAAACGAGCCACGTGCTCCAACGAAGACAGGGACGATTCACCGACAAAAAGACTAAAATCTAGGATCTTGAAACCCTTCGGGTATCCAAACGTTTCTACGTAAGCTGGGTACGGATGAATAAACTTAGGAAACTTCGGCCCTTTCTTCATGGCCGAGTCGATCATCCGCTGAACTTCGGTCATATCAACAGGTGTTGCTTTGATCCTCTGGTCGGTTCCGTCTGACCTACTATTCGACCCTCCTCCTTTTTCCAAGTTAATTGGTTTGAGCGCAGCAGGAATAGGCTCGGCCGGTACAATCGGTACTGGGTTGTTCCCTGGTGGACAATGTTGGAGAAGATCGAAAGGCCTGCTGCCACCAACTGTACTGACTAGCATTTCGAGCAGCCTGGTTTGTCGATCATTAGAACTGAGTATCGCGTCATGCAGCTTGTCAATGCCTCGACTGAACGTCTGCTCGACTGACCGAGACTGCTCGTCTAGTCGCTTTCGGAGAAACGACCTCGTTGGTGGGTCAGATCCTTCACCACCATCCTCGTCACACTCCTCTACTATCCATTCATTGAGAATGCATGTGTTTCTATTACGGATTTCTAAACCACGGAGTTGACCGCCGAGATTAACTTCTCTCTCTCGGCGAGTCGCGCTCGTGGACTCAGGTGTCACAGCGCTAAGGGGATTCTGCGCCTGCGACATGCTTTGTCCGAGGCTCTGATTCGGCAAATCGGCTGTCGACTTTCCCATAGTTGTTTTCTTTTTTACCGATCGTGTTTCAATTGGCATGAACTTCGTAGTTTAGCACTGGGTCCCACTGGGCGTGCCAAAATGTAGACCCTAGAAACTACAAAGCCTACGTGGCGCGCAGGCCGAGTAATTAATGAGCTAACTACGTCATTCGGTGAATGCGGGGCGTGCCAACTCGTCGGCCGAGCTCGGCCGAGGAGTAAATTTGTTGATGTTGCGTTGGGTCGCGCTACTGACTTCTGCGTCTTGCGATTGCGGCCGAGAAAGGAACACGTCTCGGCCTCTTGGGCTCTCGAACCTGAAGACAAGGTTACTATTCTTACGAAGTTCAATATCAAATTCGGCTTTCAATGTGCCGAATGTAATAAATGTAACACCTCACTTCGCCGAGAAGGCTGATGAGATGACCTCGACCAATAAGGATTTAGAAACCCTTCTCGACCGAGACTTGGATAGGTAATCAATCGTTCTCGCCGCAGTGCTGTTGATGCCAACGGAAGATACTGCGAGACCAACTGACTCTACGGTGACAGAGCTATCTATGCCGACTTAAGATATCACCGGTTGCTTCCACAGTGCTGTTGATGCCAACGGAAGATGTGTCAGCGAAAAAGGAAAAAGAAAAATCACAAGTTGTGAGAGTTTGCGCAGGGCAATTTTGTATTGATTTTGTGGGACTTTCTCTGTTGCTGAATGTCTTGTATTTATAGTAGCAGAACATCGAGCCCGAGTTCCAATCCTATTCGGACTAGGTTTCCTTCTCCGGATTAACATCCCCTCGATCAGTCCTATCTCCGCTAGGACTACGAATCTAGTCCTTAACTGAGCCGGATTTGCTTTCTAGATTATTGATCTCGTCGAGAGTCCCTATTGTACTAAGACTCGACTTGCGTTCTGATTTAACCGACTTAGGCTTGGAAGCCCATGAGCTGAACGCTCCCTGACCCTTTCGTCGCACGGCTTCTCGGGCCGAGAGTGATTCTACCCTCGGCCCAAACTATTATTTTGGGCCCAAACACCACCATATTCAGTTTCTCTTCAACACTTGTGACTTTACCATTCGAAGCCCTTTGGCAAATTGATCTTACAGTGTTATTCTGCAAGTTTTTTGGCCAATCTGCCATGGCAATATATAGAGTAAATTGTACAAATGGTCCCTCAACTTTAATCAAATTGGAGCAATGGTCCCTCAACTAAAAATCCATTACCATTGGTCCCTCAACTTATCAAAATGTGTAGCTATAGTCCTTTTTATCAATTTTGTCAAAATTTTGTCAAAATAAGCTATGTTGGAATGACCATTTATATAATTAGGGTTCATTAACTCATCAAAGTGTATAATTATGGTTCTTTTTGTCAACTATGTCAAAAAATTTGTCAAAACGAGTTATATTGGAAGGACCATTACTACAAGTGGATTAAAGTTAAAGGACCATTTCTCCACTTGAATTAAAGTTCAGGGACCAATGGTAATGGATTTTTAGTTGAGGGACCATAGCTGCACGTTTTGATAAGTTGAGGGACCAAAGGTAATGGATTTTTAGTTGAGGGACCATTGCTCCAATTTGATTAAAGTTGAGGGACCATTTGTACAATTTACTCCAATATATATATAGTTTTGGTTCCATTCAAAATTCCCAAACTATTAAATATGTAATACCAAATCTTGTACCGAATGGTTTAGAATTGGTTTAGTATGACATTCCAAATTTTTTGAGAATTTCGGTTTGAGATTTTTTTTTTATTGAAATCGGGATTTGTTTGGTTTGTTTCGGGATTTTCGGAAATTTATTCAAGTTGTATATGACATGAATAATAACCCATATCCAAAACAGTTATTTAATTATTAAACTCTTTACATCCAAAAAGCAAGCGCATGTCAAACATTTCCTTATCCGGATTCTGTAAAGAGACGGCGTATAAATAAAGCAACACCAAAGCCAACGTATCTGAGTCCATAAATAAGTCAGGCATAAACCCAGGGAGAGGAGACGACGATCAATCGTCCATAGTTCCCCAAACCCCTAAACGACGGGTCGTTCCCTTCCAAATCTGCCCTTTCCCTCTCCCTCTCCTCACTTCTCACTCATCCTCAACTCTTCTTTTGCAGAGCTTCTCTTCTCAACCAGGTCAGCATATACCCATCGCAATATTTATATGTCTGCAAGTCTCTTTTCTTTCGCTTTGTTAAATTTTGCCGGCAACCCCATCAGGTGCTTAAGTATTCACCTTTTCCCCCCAATTTTTGATATTTTATTATTTGTGCCACTTGGGTTTTGGCATCTGATTGCTTGTTTATGTTTGTAAACTTTTGGGGCTTATTGGGTTTTAGTTTTCCAGAAAGATCTGATTTTTGTTTCCCTTTAGAAATATATGATACTTGTTTATATGAATTTTCTAGAGAACTGGACTTAATTCGAAAAAGGTATTATAAAAAGGAGTAATTTGTTAGTGTTTGATCACTTTTGGGATATTATTTTGGAGGAGATTGTAATTTTTTGGAGAATATTATCATCTTTGATACAGGGTTTTGAGTATTGCCCTTTAACCCTGAAGGGTCCAGAAAAAAAACAATAATACAACAAAAACAAAGGCAACAAGGAGGAATTAACGGACCAGTCGCCAGTGAATAACAATTCTTATAGTTTCTTGATTATGTTTTTCTTGCTTGCTGTGTACTCAATTTGATGTTTGTTTGGTTATTTTCGACATTATGTAGTGTATTGATCCGCTTGACATTTATCTTGTGTATTCTGTGCCATTGTTTTCCCCTGTCACAGATTTAGGCCCTTTGGGGGTAATAGTGTTTTTCTGTTTTCATTTTCAGGAGACATGATTAGGCTATTCAAAGAAAAGGAAAAGCTGAGAGCACAAAATGCCATTGGAGCCTCGCCATTTACGAAGCAGTCTGCTGGGAAATTGCGTCTTAATAAAGGTTTTCCTTCTATTTAATGATTGCATCGGTTGATATGTTTTATTATTGTAATTGAAACTTTCTCATTTTCATTATTCTTTTCGAAAAAGCGTTTGTTGATTGTTAAGCAGTATGTATCAATTCCGTTAGATGGTTTCTGTACTGTTGATGGTTCACTTGTTCAATATTTTGGGTTAATGAGGAGTTTGAGTGTATCCTGGACTGGACTGGAACTTAAAATTTTAAGCCACGGTGCTTATGAGTGGTCCTTGGTCCTTGGTTCAGCTATAATTAAAATTATTTAGAGGTGTTCAGGTTGGTGGAGTTTTAAGCCAATTTAGAACATAACAGTTTTTAGCAAATGGATTAACGTCTCATCTTTTCTCACATTCGGTTGATATACGAAGTTGAGATAATTTTTTTTTTCTTTCTGATTATAAAGTATCAGCAAATGGAATGGCAACTGAATCTTTTCTAGCATTCTTGATTGAATTTAACATGTAATTCTAAATTTGTTATAATTTGGTTAAGGATGCTCGTTTTAAACTTATTTTCATGCTGAATTACTTTTACTGGGTTTTTTTGGACTATGTATGGAGTTGTATTGTTTCTCTAAATTTACCCATCCGTTTAATAAAAACAAAACTTACTTCTTGTGGCTTCTGATGCAGATATGTCTGAGCTGAATTTACCAAAATCTTGTAGCATTCATTATCCTGATGGCAAGGATGAGCTGATGAACTTTGAGGTTACAATTCGTCCTGATGAAGGATATTACAAGTAAGGAATTCTACATATTGTGTGCAAAAGTTTGACGAACGTATTTTTTTTAGACACCTTTTAATTGTAAGAGAAGCTGGTTTCTTCTTTCGTTTCCACATACACAACACTTTCTCACGCAAATATGTCTGTTAATATACGTGTGCATGAATTTACAATTGTGAGACACTGGACATTGTGAGTGCCTGCAAACCATTGTTTTAGTTAACCATGCGACGAAGTCAATATGGACACAACAAGCAATGGTGTTGGAAGGATTCATATTATATATGTATTGTTTCTGATGTCTTGTAAAATTAGCATAGCAATCATTTTTTACATTATCTTTCCATTTGTTATTGCAGAGGTGGTGTGTTTTTGTTTACGTTCCAAGTTGCCCCTATCTACCCACATGAAGCACCAAAAGTCAAGTGTAAGACCAAGGTAAAGCTGCCAATAAAAATTTCACCTAGTTTTGTTTAACTTTATTCGTCCCCTTTCTTCTATTTGATAGCTTAAATGAAACATTTTTGTGTACTTGGTACTACAAACCACTCACAGGTCTACCATCCGAATATTGACTTGGAAGGAAATGTTTGCCTCAACATCCTACGAGAAGATTGGAAACCTGTCCTCAATATAAACACTATCATTTATGGACTATATCATCTCTTCACGGTACTAATGACTCTCATCGTAGTCCTCCATTCCTATGTGATTTGTTTCCATCTGGTATCTGAATGTCGCTTATTGTCTCTTTAATATCATTTGCAGGAACCAAATTATGAAGATCCACTAAATCATGATGCAGCTGCAGTGTTGAGAGACAACCCAAAGATGTTTGAATCTAATGTAAGAAGGGCCATGGCCGGTGGGTATGTGGGGCAAACCTTGTTCCCCCGGTGCACATAGATTTCGTTTGGTAGCACCAAAGAGCGCCAATTGACATACTATCAACGTCCGAAATGCAAATGTGGTTGTAATATTCGTTGCAGATTGCATTTTCTTTTTCAATCAATTGAGTTGGAGGCTTAAAATTGTACGTCATAGTAGCTTTTCGGAATGCTTTGTAGTATCTTGTCTTGTCTAAATATTGCCTTGTTGTCTTGAATGCATCTCTCACTCACACACAAAATACTTTCACAGTAATTGATCACGTCACGTGACCGTACATTATACGCACATGTATATACGGTTGTGGTTTGCCGTATACATGCTAGTGTGGTAGCAGTGAGTTGAGCATACAATACTGCATTTGGGAAAACGCCTGGATGACAGGATTTCAATGGCGATATGCTATTTCAGATAGCAGTTTTGGAGCATAACGAGTTTCATTACTTGTTAATGAGCCTGTTTAAGATAATGACATGGGATAATCACGACAAGTTTCGATGCGACGATGTATTACAAGGCTAGGCATATACCCAACAGGTTTCATTATTTCCTAATCAGCATTACAAATGTGTCAATCTCAAAAAAATTTACTTCGCTATCGAAAATCTTTGTGTCGAAGTAAGGGAGTATCGCTTCACAAAGCAGTTTCTCGAGCTGGTCAGGACTGCCGCGGCTTGGGGAGGCTAAATGGTTGTCTCATCTCATGCGCTTGGTTGCTCCTTCAAACTATGGAATGAGTTCTCACCTCATCTCTTCCTCTTTGACACTAGCGTTCCTGGCATTTTCGCGGTCCTTTCTGAAAAACAGATGCAAAGGCGTGTAAAACAAGCAACACAAACCAAACGGAACCGCCATCATCGAAAGAAGCCCTTGAGATAAGGCAAAGGCCTCCCGCGTAGACCCTTTAATTGGATCCACTGATTTTGCGTCGTAACCAAACATCTTCTCTGAAAGGATTCCGACCAAGGGTGCTGCAAAAGAAGAGAATGATCCTTCGAAAGCTCGATCAAAGGCGTAGATCATGGTTCGGTGTTTGACAGGGACAACCTCGGCAAACATAGGGCCATTTGCAGCGGTAGCGCACCAGCTGATAGTCAGGCCCATCAGCAAGAGGGTGACTGCAAAGGTGTAATAGCTGTCTACTGACTGTGGGATGGCTTTGAGTAAGAACCACGAAAAGGGGATGCCCATGAAGGCGCTGAACTGCGCACACATGATACGGCCTGAGTGAGGGTAGATTCGTGACAATCGGTCTGCTATTAGTCCACCGAGAAGAGACCCCATAGCACAACCAACAGCAAAAAGACTAAGGAGTACTGCTGTACTGTTGTGATCAAAACCTAACAAAACGAACTAGAAGACGTCATATGTCATGAAAGTAGAAGCTAAAAGTTCGTAGTTCAGCAAACAAATGAGAGGTAGAAGGTGAACCAAAAGCAGTTCCACCGATGTATAGAGTATATATTACGCTACAAAATCAAAAAAATATATGCGTAGAAATTTACAATAAGTGAGAAATAGGAAAGAGAAATTTCAAACTAAAAACCTCATGGATCTAGGCCTTTGATTTCCATGCCAGAAAACTGTTGCTCCCGAAATGCTCGAGTTGTTAGGAATGAGAAACAAAACAACATATAACAAGCTAACAGTAGCATTCCAATTCCACTTTTGAAGTATGGTGTGCATAATCTAAAGCAAGAAAAGAATTTTCAGTAGCTCATACCGATTAATTCGAACCACATTGTGAAGAACACCATGGCAGTCCAGGGTAGTGAGCCAACAATGCCCTGCAAAACAATTATTTGAAACGTTCGCACTTTAACAACTGCCTTCATGGCTGTCCAAGACTCCAGCCAAACTGATGCTGCACTTGCAGGTCCCTTAATTATCAAATCTTCCCTGCAACATAAAGGAACCAAATCATCACATAAGATGGATACGGAGAACGCACCAGTGAACTCCTTCACAATTTGTTCAGGGATTTGAAACTGATATAATCAATGAAATTACATGCAGAAGTGATAAAATGATCATCTCATACCTATCAGAACTCAAGTCAGAAACTATCTTCCGCGGGTCAATCACAAAAGCAAAAACAAGGAACCCGATTAGAGAACTTAGTGATGCCATGAGAATGAAAGCACATCGCCATCCCGGTATATTCCAGTATTGATCGCCAGCCATAAGTGTGGCCAGAACACCACCTCCAATGCCGCCCAAGGAACCAACGAGGCTTACCATCCCAAACCCAGCCCCCCTCACTCCATCCTTGTAACTATCAGCAATAAAAGACTGAAGTGCTGGTATAACAATTGCCAATCCGAAGCCATTCACTGCCCTCCAGAATGCAACTTGTGAGAAAATCCGGCTTGCACCCACTGCAGCTGTTGACAAGGCCCAGCAAAAAGTGCCCATTGCAAGAACTGAAGGGCGGTCATAGTTAATAACAAGTACACCTGCAAGGGGAGATGCCAATCCCTGTATAAAGTTCCTAATGAATGTCAGATAGCCGAGGTCAGATGGCCCGGCATTGAAAGCCTCACTGACTTCTTTGTAAACAGATGGGAGAAGATTTTCGTCAGCACGCTCCATTATAGCAGCCAAATTGATCAGAATGAGAGACAGAGAAATCCCAAAAATCTTTCTCGCCCTGTGAAAAGAAAACGTATTAACGCGATATAGTGTATACAATCAACGACTCAATGCAATGTGAAACTAAGCCCCAGAAATCAGCTGCATCAAGAGCATAATTCTTGAGTACATTTCCATCAAGAACGCATACAAGCATACTAGGACATATATTGTGTTGAAAACCACATCAAGGATTTACAATTGGCGAGTAGAACAATGCCAAGTCATGTACTTCAATTAATGTTATCCACTTCATAGTTGTAAATACAGTTAGAGTGGCTTGCCAGATCTGAAACGTCGAACTAAAACCAGGCAACTATTGACTGAAAACACACACACACACACACATGCTTTATAACCCATGAATCCCAGAAAAGAGGAAACAACTTTCGAAAAATTCAAGGAACAGCAACAACGTGGGAAGAACCAAACTCACCTCATGGCTTGCAAACTTCTGAAAAAACCAGATTTCGACCGAGACCAAGTATAAGATGATGGGAATCTGATTAATGCCCGTTTAAGTCCCTTAAACATGATTAATTAAGAACCCACGAGCCCAAACTCCAAGGAAACCGAAAGGACAAGCCCTGCGTCTACGGCGGATCTGAGACGCACCCCAACTTGCCTTTGACAATCTGACCTCCGACGGACTCAACACCAAATTTCCAAACGAATATTCACAGATTATGTCTAACATGGGAATCTAGCCATTTACGTTTTTGCAATATTTACGATCAGATTTATTGATATGATTACATTTCTTTAAGGTCCTTTTCAAAACGCGCGCCTTTCTAAATGTTCGTTGGTGAAATCGTTGAATACTGTTGATAAAAAAAATAAAAAAAATTTCGTTGAATACTATGAGGTGGAAGAATCTGTCTAAATCGGCTGCGTCTCATATTTTGATTATTAGGCCTTCCACATGTTTAGGTGAGGGTAACCTCTATATATAATAATCATGCATTAAAATTTTAACATGTATTATGAGAGGTGTAAAATTTGAATCTTATACATGACGAATTTAATATCAAATCAGGTTGTTCATTGTATGGCTTAACCGTGTTAGACCAAGTCGTTAGTTTGTGTGGAGTCTTGTATTTGGTTTCAAAGACTGTTTGTTTGAAGTCTTGTATTTGGTTTCAACGACCTCTCTCTTCGGAGTTGGATAGGCTTAGGACTTTATGTAACTAGGGTTTTCAAACCCTAAATGTAATCTGTATGTTCTGTATGTTGGCTATAAATATACGCAACCCAAGTCTTCTTGGGTATGCAAAGTTGATGTGAAACAACCCTCTTGTCAAAGATACAAAACCTGCAGTTCTTGAGTTTGTTTATGGTATCAGAGCCTTTTGAGTCCAACAACGATCCAATTTTTTTTTTCTTCTTCCCATTGTCCACTACCTTCTACCATGTCGTCAGAAGTTAACACCAATGCCACCAACTCCAGCAACAACCTTATCTCTATCCTCTTAGTGTAAAAATATATCGATGTACAAAAAAAAAACATATATTATACTATTGTCATTGTTATATTAGTGTGAATTTGATATGACTGAGTTTTATATATTAAATGCGGAATTCATCCATTTTTCTCTCTATTTTATGATTAATTAGATCTCTTTTTTTCTCTTGTCATTTATTATATTGGCATCACCTTCATTAGTTCAATATTTTGTACTAAAAAATAAGAATCACTCTCATTGCACTAAGATTTTCAGGCCTAAATGGAGTTTGATTGTTATATTATTGACATTATACTCAATTTTCTGGTCTACTGTAGAAGGCCTTAGTGAGTAAATTACAAATTTGTCTCTTAAATTTTTGGGAGTTTTCAAGTTTCGTTTTTCAACTTTGTCTTATCTCAGTTGGCAAGAGATTCCTCATACAACAAAGTTTTAGTTTTAGTTGCGTTAATTTTCAATATATGTTTGTCACGTATTTAAAGAATGCACAACTCATACAATAAACAATTAGCATATGATAAATTTATGACATGAAAAAAGATTGTCACGTGTCATCTTTAACTTTGGGTTGACATGTACCTAGGGATGAACTCTCTCTTTAATTCGAAGTACAAAGCAAAATATGTACCTTCAAAACAGTCGAAGGAAAAAGGCCAGTACATCACCCGGATTGGAGCCCAAAGCAACAAAACACAAAGAAAAACCTAGCAACCACCGGCATCCTGTTCCGTCGCCAGAGCACCAGCCACCCAGCATGAACCCGCACCCCTTGAATTCGCCGGAGATCAAGACACACAATGCCTAGGCTCGAAAATATCCACAGTGAACCCAATGGGTACTCAAAACACCCAAATTTCCAATGTAAATTATGGAGTCAGTCAAACAGTTGCATCATTAGTAGGTAATAGTTTAAACTCACAACCTATCTTGACACGAGGAATCATTTTATAGTAAGCCTAAATATCTAAGCTATTTGTGATGCAAGTAACCTTGATTTTCTTTGTTGTTTCGCATGAAGCTTAATTTGTTGGTATATATGCTCCTCACAAGTTTTTATCTACATATTTTTCCTACTAAACAGATCAGGGAACCTTTTCAAGGGAGCAGAGTTTTTGAGTGCGGA